ATACAAGAAAAGGAAACTCTTTGTTTCAATAAAGAAAGAAATGCTCGATGCCATAAGGAAACTGTAGGTAACTTTAGTCGCTTACACCCAAATTTTGGAAGGAAACTCAATTTTTTAATTGTACTTGAATATCATTTTATTAATAACTAGCTGACCCGGCAAACTTCGTACCGCCTAAAAGTTTTTTCTCATCTTTTAAACCTTCCCTAGACTTCCACGAACCTATCAAGACCAAAATTAGCCAAATCAGTTCAGCCGTTCTCGAGCTTTAGCGAGACTAACGAACAGAAATTCATTTTTATTTATATAGATTTCTAGTGACAGAATTATGTAAGTACTTAAGCGCGACCTAAAATTAAATGGCGTTTGGGTAATCTATATCTTATACTATTATATAAAGCGGAAGTTTGTTTTTTTATTTGTTTGTTTGAACGCGCTAATCTCCGTAACTACAAGTCTGATTTGAATAATTCTTTTTGTGTTATATAGCGCATTTATCGAGGATGGCTATAGGCTAAAAAACATCACGCTACGACCAATAGGAGCTGAGCAGAGCGTGAAACCGCGCGGAAGTAGCTAGTCTAAGCTACAGTCACCTAATAAGGCCCACCTTATTTCAAAACATTGTATAATCTTGTAGATAAATAGTAGAGAAGAAATATATTGGAGTTTGTAAAGTATTTATTTGACAATCAAGATATCGAAAAAAGTAATCATAACTGCGTATTTTTTAAGTGGCCCGTCTCAGGAAGCGGGCCATCTTTGGCGAACCTTATATCTATATACATAAAAATGAAACCCATTTCCCGTTGTCACGCCATAACTTGAGAACGGCTAGACCGATTTGGCTGGTTTATTTTTGTTGTGTTTATTATTGTCAGCGAAAGGTTCTTATGACAGAAAAAAGTCTTGAAAATCCTACGGGAACGGGAGAAAACGGGATTTCGCATACGAAGTCGCGGGCAGAAGCTAGATAGACATAAGAATCTAATATTCTCATCCTCTCTACTCTCTATATAAATGGGCCATGGGCATGGATTTTCCATCTTGCAGAGAAAAACCTCAAAAGGCCTTCGTTGAAGTTCAACAGTGGACGTATTTTAACTGATGTGATGATAACGAATAAGATAGATAAGTAGCTTTGGATAATGTTTTTTAAGTACCTATACAAATGTTGTAAACACATTTTTATAAATTTTACTTGACTCGAGAATCGAATCTACAATATAACCATGAAACAAGCTACCATCATATCTCACAAGAAACAGCTGAAAATTATTTAATGATTGCACTTTCAGCTTTCAGTGCCTTTCAGCTAAGCGGTCGTTGGCAATGAGTCGCGAAACACTAAAACGGATTGATATGATAGATGGCGCTGCCTACGCACTATTTATTTTAAATATTACCGTTTATTTTACTCACATTTCCTCAATACACACTTTGTAGACAATGATGAATATCTAACACGCCTCTGAAACACTTAAAACGCAAACGTAATACAAAATCTAGCCAAAGAAATAGAAATAGTCATAACATATAAAACCTATTTAAAAAAATATTGTCCATGGCTGTATGTGTGTGTGCCTTGGCTCAAAACTAGATATTTGTTATAAAAAATTAAGTCAGTGTGACCACCTGTCTGCTATTATTTTCTACCAATGTTGAATTTTAATAGAATTATACAATTCTTTGTTTTGAATTTTTGAAGATTGTAATAATTTTTAAAAGATTTGGCACTTTCTTTGTTGTGTGTTCGCTGCTAATAATTTTTCCGGATATAATAATACAAACATTGTATTCATCTACGTAATATTACGATGATTATTACCGTCATCACGCCACTTATTTCATGGTTGGCGCAGTGGTCGGATGATGATGTCGTGGGCAATGTGATGTGGACAAGAACACAGACCCATTATTTTAAGTGAGATTGAAAGGCGACACGTTTATGTAATGCATAATTTTCTTTACATTTCCTTCAGGAAACGTTTTAGTTCTAACAAATGAAACCTATTATTGTACAATTTATTAAACTTGATTGCAAAATGAGTTCACGGTACACTAAAAGCGTTTAGGTTATTTTCTACACAGAAAATAAACATGGCGGCTATTTTCGCTCGTGTTTTCTTTTATTTATAGTTCACAACAAAGTATTGTTTGGATGGTAGGTGCTATTGTTGTGTGAATCATTGTGTTGGTTTTAAATGAAACATTAATAATATAATTAGGTGTTAATTGGCAATGGTTTTTGTGTTGTTAGGTATAATTGTGGAATATGTTTTTAGATTTGAACTCTCATTTATAGAAAAAGACATTAGATTAACAAGGTTTAATGTGTCTACCATCTGGCATGCAAGTGTTCTCGGGTTTAATTGCCGTGTCTCATAAAATATAACGACCTAAGAGATTTGTCTGACTTTTTGCGTAACAAACAAACAATACATACAACATCGCAAAGTTTAATAAGACAAAATTATACGCCGTGAAATCTATTTCGTTTTTGTCCCGAAGTAAAATGGTCTATATCTTAGTAATACACTAATCTTACAAAGAAATAAAATATTTAAAACAAAAAATAACTGGTAAAAAGCAAAGCTAAAAGCAAACTTTGAAAACGCATACGAACTCATGGTACATTATCACAACAACACGCGCCACGTAATTTTCCAAAAGGTAGGTATTTCCAGTCGAGTGGCACGTGCGATGCGAATAGTGTATATATGCCTACAAATTTACGTCTAGTATTTCATCTGCATATTTCCATGATTTTTTTATAAAGTAAAAAAGTATGACATCGTTTTTCGCCGCTGAACGAAAACGAAATAACAAATTTCACGGTCTATAGGTACCTAATACAGATAGATAGGTCTCCCTTTTTTAAGGGGGAAAAAATATCCAATGACTACAGTACAGAACCCGATTTACTTCGAACAGAAACACGCAAAAATTAATTTCAAAAAGAACTCAACAATGTAATAACGCTTTCATCTCACGATAATTACAAGAAGTAAACAAACTTCGCGATTACAAAGAGAATTAATGTTTACATTTATTAATACAAAGGTTACGCACAGGAAACATTAGTAATGTCTGTATGTATGTACGTAATGTATGACATAATACGCATAACATACTTATTATTTGATCTTGGAAAAAAATTTTGACGAAAGTTACAGTTATTTGAAAGTATAAATGGGAATATTCGCCGTTCTGGGTGCTTACTCTTGAAACCAATCTCAATGTCAATGCAATTTCAATCCAATAATTTTTCAATGTCAAAACTATAAAGGTTGCACCCTTATCGAAGCTGTTAAAATAGCATTCAGAGTACGGAATATAAAGCCAAACTCAATACCACTTAGTTCATTCAATATCCATGCAATACGGATGCAATGGGCGCTAGTGTTGCATCTTGAGAGTACGAAATTTCACAATACCAATGTCGATCGATCGGAATTGGATTCAAGAGTAAGCCGCCTGGTGGGTACATATCATACCAATCCATCAATAAGTAAGTAATGGATTCTTATAAATAAGAACTTCGAAATCAGTCGCCTAGTTCACCAAAATGAACGCCCGTGCGTTTACTGAAAAATGTGTATTGAGCTCGCTGAATTAACTAATAATAATCGTTTTTTCTTCTTTATTCTTCTAAAATTTTCAGTAATGAAGTCTGGAAATGTCGGGTACATTTCCAGACAGCTCGTAGGACATTGGGCTCACGGTCTCCTACACGGGAGACATGTAATAGAGTGCTTTGGTGGCGAGCCTATTGCTATATACCGGGCATAATTCCAAACACCTTGCTACTACTGAGAATTTTTAAAAACCCTAGTAACGCTTTACCTGATACGGGAATTTAACGCGAGTCCCCTTGCCCGGCAGTCGCACTTGCGATTACTCGGCCAACAAAGCATTTATCTTTACCTCTATACTAAATGAGTCCTCTAATAATAGGTACTCACATACCTCGATCACAATTAGCACAAATCCTAAAACCTATAATTACCACTCCACTAATTAGTAAGCTGAAATTCAGTCAAATAATTCTGTAATAGGCTATGAAACTGCAATGTAGAGGTAAGTAATTAGAAGGAAAACACGTTGCCGCAACGTTTATAGATTGTGCCAAAACAAACAATAAAGTTAGGAATTGGCAATTTAGGGAATCGTAATGGTTGAATTAAATCGAAGCTTATAAAGCGTTGCGGTAGTGTTGCTAAATAGTGTAGGTAGAGGATAATTGAACACTGTTCTTGATTAAATATTGTACTTTTTGTTTATCAAACAGAAGACGTGGATATAAGCAATTATAAGGGGGGAAAATCATCGAATGTCTTCTCCCGACTCCCGCCTGGGGAAGACGGGAAGGAGTGTCAGACTCTTACTGCCTAAAAACCACCACGTTCCTACTCCTGCCCTTCGAGCCGGAGCCCCGGTAACCTGTTAGGTTCTCCGCGGCTCCGTATCGGCATCAGCCCTATTGGGCCCCATCATTGGTGGTCTGATGGCTCCTTGAGGTGCGCGGTCTTAGACGCTGTGGCCCTTGGACACGCAATAATTTTAACGTTGCACCACAATAGGATTGTCTCCTGTGTCGTGACTGCGTTAACAAACATATAAGTTCACATGCACATGACACTCAAACCCGAAAAAACAATTTCTGGATCACACAAAGATTTGCTCCGTGCGGGAATTTAAGCCGCTACACGCTGCGGAGCAGCCGGGTTGAGTGTCAGTCGTAGATATTGTCGGTACTTCGGGGCTGCCTGAGGATGGATGCCCCGAGTGCTCTTATATCTATCTACTATCTACTGGCTGTGATATGTATTTAAAAGTAGGTATTTGCAAACACATCCACAACACAGGAGGCTATCCCAGTCCGACGAAACATTAAAAAAACATTCTATACATAGTTTTAAAGTAGAGATGACATAATCTACACTTCGCACCTCAACTATCTACTAAATATACTCAAATGTCTATTTGTTTGTTTACAGATGAACGAGGGAGCGGCGCTAGTGTTCGCAGACGAGCTGAAACAGACACTAGACAGATATTTGTTTGGCATATGCCCTCAGAGCTTCAAGGTAAATAGATTGTCCATTTATTACTCAGGATATTGAGTTGACGGCTTCGTTGGTCGAGTGGAAGTGGGACTGCTGAACAAAGTATAATGGGTCAAATTCAGGAATCTCAGGTTATATTCTTTTTTTTATGGCATAAACCGGTAAATTAACAGACGGATCACCTGATGGTAAGCAATCGGCGTCGCCCATGGACACCTGGAACACCAGAGGCGTTACAAGTGCGTTACCGGCCTTTTGGGAATTAGGAGTTTGAGGATCGTTGGGGATTCAGGAATTGGGGAGATTGGGGAAGGGGAGGGTAATTGGGCCTTCGTGATTTGTGAGTTAGTAAAATATTTTTTTATAATATCACGTGGTTCTTTTTGAGGAGAGAAAATCGTCCAATGACTTCCGTCTTGGGTTAAGCGAGAGAGAGAGAGAGTGTCAGACTTGATCTGACTCTTACTGACTAAAAACTATACTGTTCTTACTCCTGCCCTTCGAGCCGGAGATAGGAAATTTGGATCTTACCGGTGAAAAGTGGGAGTTATCTTGTATATTTGCAACTCTATTCATGTTAGGCGATTTAACGATATGCTCTTTGTGTGTTTAACAAAAGAACTTCTTTTTTTATTGGGTGAATCCCGCTACAACCTCCCAAAACCGCTGCAACTTCTGTAAGCCAGGATCTACAGTGGATACAACCATGAAAACACCGGAACACTGAAGTCCGGCGCATTCCAGGGATGTGAATGGTCCCGCAACGAAATGAATCAGAAGATATTATAAGAGGAGAATAAAAGAAACGATAGTTTCCACTTCCCTTTGTGAATTACTGCAAGAGACAGAATGAATTAAGCATAGAGGCCAAAGAGAAGCAACTGGGAGAAGCCCAGCCGCCAAGCACCACGGACCACGGGTATTTGACTAAAAACTAAGATAGTAAACGATCTCGGTTTCGTTTCCTGAGCAAACTTTTAATTAAACTTTTCCATGTAACACCAAGAATCTATGAGTAGTTAGGTATAGGTACCAGTGTTAGACTGTTCTACATCAAAGAAAATTATTTCAGTCATATCCTTCAAATCGGACGTCCGCTCTGATCGAAATCGGGCAGTAGAGCAATAATATTATTTGTTTATCGGACTCATGACCTAATATAATATATAAATTATTAGGTCACATGGAAATAGAATATCCTCACTAATATTTTAAATGTGCGAAAGTAAGTTTGTTAGCCACCTTTTACCTTACGCTTAATATTACACTTAAACTGACTCAAACTCTTACGTACATTTTACACTATCTTATATTTTTTATACTATTATTTAAAGCGGAAGGGTTTGTTTTTTGTTTGTTTGTTTGAACGCGCTAATCTCCGTAACTACAAGTCTGATTTGAATAATTATTTTTGTGTTGGATAGCGCATTTATCGAGGATGGCTATAGGCTATAAAATATCACGCTACGACCAATAGGAGCTGAGCAGACCGTGTCAAACCGCGCGGAAGTAGCTAGTATACATAATTATATATGGGTAGTCGGGAAGACCAAAAAGAACTTTTACGTAAATAAAACTGTGAGTTGAAGCTACAATTGTTTATGCATTATAATGATATAACAAGATGTAAGAGTTGCCCGATTAGTCAATCTTGTGTAGCATAATATTTATCATCATCATAACATCACGTTTTTTATATCCGGAGGTGTAAGCAGAGGTGCAAATTACTTACATTGTATAGTGTAACACCCACTTTTCACTATTTATGTTATGAGTCCCATGTAATAGGGGGTGAGTCTATTGTCATATACTGGGCACGATGCCAGACTCCGTACTACTACTGAATTTAAAAAAAACCCAGTGATACTTTGCTCGACCTGAGAATCGAACCCAAGACCACTTGCCCAGCAGCCGCACTTGCAACCACTTGGCCAACCAGGCAATCATAGCATTTAATTTATTAGTAACAGAATATAATCCAGCTAACAAAGATTTTTTAATTGGTTGATGCAATTAAAACTTGGGGGCTTACTCTTGAATCCAATTTCGATCGATCGACATTGGTATTGTGAAATGACGTACTCTCGAGTTGCAACACTAGCGCCCATTGCGTCCGTATTGCGTGGATATTGAATGAACTAAATGGTATTGAGTTTGGCTTTATATTCCGTACTCTGAATACTATTATAACAGCTACGATAAGGGTGGTATAGTTTTGACATTGAATAATTATTGATATTTTATTGCATTGACATTGAGATTGGTTTCAAGGGTAAGCGCCCCGTTTACGAATTTTCAAAACGTCATTAACGAAATACAGATTCGGTTCAAACCTCGATCACAAGGATAAATCGTATTCATAAACAAATCAACATTCACTTCAAAATGTTCTAAATATAACTTCGAAAATTGTTTTCACTTCGAACTTAGTGGAAGTTGGGAATAACGAACGTTAGCAGCATTGCGCATGCGTCAAGCCGTCAATCTTTAAATATGTTCGCGTTTCCAATAAACAGCGAGGCATTTATAATTGTTTATGTATTTGTGCTAAGATGGAGATGGAGAGTGGTAACGTAACATCACGCCTTTTATTCCCGATAGGTAGGTAGTGGTGCATATTACGGCATTCAAAACCACTGTACAATGTAACACCCACTTTTCACTGTTTATGTTAAGACTTATGAGTCCCATGTAATAGGGGGTGAGCCTATTGCCATCACAGAGATATTAAAAAAGTCTTCTTTAATATATCTGTGATTGCCATATACCGGCCACAATTCCAGACTCTGTGCTACAATTGAGATTTTTTTTAATAAAAATCCAGTAGTACTTTGCCCGGCCCGGGAATCGAACCCGAGACCCCTTGCCCGGCAGTCGCACTTTATGGAGAGTAGTGTTAGGTGCATTAAGAGTAATACCTATTGAATTTAGGCTAAAAATCATGATTATCACCATGATAACAGCCCATTGCAGATCTATGAGCCTGCTACGCTTATGGTTTATTAAAGTAAAATGTATCACCGCAGTCACCATCTTCTCTTCGTACTCATGATGCCCGATACGAAGCCGTGAAAGGCCTAACGGGTTGCCGGGGTTCCAGCTCTATGCAGAAGTAGGAATGGGGTGATGTTTAATCAGTAAGAGTCTGACACTCCCTCTCGCCTCACCCAAGGCAGGAGGAGAAAATGAATGATTTTATTCCCTCTATAAAAAGGAGTCGTGGTCGCCCGGAGGTTTAAGACGCCCGCTTCTCATGCATGAGGGCGCGGGTTTGTAACCTATCTACGGCAAGTACCAATATGACTTTATCCGAGTTATATGTACTTTCTAAGATTATTTAGACACCACTGACAAACGGTGAAGGAAAACGTCGTGAGGAAACCTGAGCTTATAATTTCCAATTATAAGTTTGAAATCGCCAACCCACATTGAGTAACCATGGTGATTAATGCTCAAACCTTCTCCGTGTCAAAAGAGGCTTTGCTCAGCCAGTCTTAGTATGATTATCATGATTACTTTGTATTTCAATGTACTGAATGAGAAATGACAATATTATCGCACAGTCTCGTTGGTTCCAGTTGCCGCTCAAGGGGAAGAATATGACCAATGTCGCCTGTGACCTCGATCTGGATCAGCAGGACCTGGCTGGCAGGTGAGGACTTGAGTTGTAATAGAAATTAGTAAATTCAGGATTGAAGGTTTTTTCCTTACCGTGGGCTAGAACTTTCGTTAAGACTACAGCAGATATCAGTTGGTAAATTGGAAACTACGTCTACTATATAAAAATAAGTCGGATTGTCCTTCCTGACGCTTTAACTCCAGAACCTCACGAACCAATTTCCACGGTTTTGCATTCCTTGGAAAGGTCTCGGACATCGTGAGGTTTATAAAATATAAAAAAAATTCTTTATCTTTTAATCACCAAACGAAATGTTACATAAAACGAAGCCGAAGTGGCGAATCAGAGTTCGCCGGGTTTGCTAGTAATGATTATATTTTCAACTTTATCAAAATGCATACAGTCGAAAAACTATTGAAGAAAGTCAAAATGTAGCACCGATTTTTATTCTTATCACTATCGGCACTACCGGCCCTGGGCTGGCCTATGCTATCTTTGTACGTGTGTTACATATCCTACTCAGTCGCAGGCATAATTTGAAGTTACCAACAAAATGTTTAGTAATGGTAGCTTTTTATTCCACAGGTTGGCAACACTAGCATTACGTGCTCACACAGCTGCGCGGACTGACTGCGGTCGGTTTGCGGCGGCACTTGCTAACACGCTCGGAGACTTAGCGCGCACTGCCGCTAATAGACAGCTTTTAGCTGCCGGTTTGTATATTCCTTGAATAATTTAAGTATATGGGATAATTTAATATTCTGTGGGACAGGACGATTTGGTTAGCAAAGCAATCAGTGACACCGGCAACACTAGTGGAGTTAGTAGTACGTTGACGATCTGTGAGGGGATTATTGAGTCTCTGTAACTTCACTCACATATATAGCGAAACAGAGTAAGCGTCGTATCACGATGGTGAATTGTGAGACCGCGGTATCCCTGTAGTAGAACGGTAGAACCAGCTTCTTCGTTCTGAAGCATTGGTCACTTAATCTATGAACTATATGACTTACTAGCTGCACCTGCGACTTTGTCCGCTTGAAAAAGTGGTTTACAGCTCCCCCTCCCCCGTAGTTGATAGTATAATAATATGTAGCCTATATGTTGACCCGACCTGTTAGTAATATTCATGCAAAGTTTCAAATAAATACAGACAAACAGACAACATTTCTATTGACCATATATTTGGTTTCGGTATCGACCGTAGATCACGTCCAAGGCATTCTTTTAAAAAATATTCGGTGTAAAATTTTCACTTTCCTACGATTTTATTAATAGATAGAAGAAGATAGATTACAAAACCACTCGACTCACATTAAATTAGACAGTCTACATAAAACGTGGAGTGATCATACATGTGTCCATTAAACTGTCAAACACCAAGCGGTCACCGGTGACCGCAACCTATTGTTCTATAATTGTGTCTACAAAACCGGTACTCGACGAGTTAATGCATTTTCACAATTTGCTGAAACCGCAACACAGTGTGAACTGTTAAGACATTTATGTTCCGTAACTTATTGTGCGAAGCGAAATAGCAGTTATACTCGCACAGTAACCAATCGTTCGTTGCAAGAAGAACATTAAAGTCGGATGTTTGCTCTGTATTTCACTTTTATGACATGTTCGGTGCAACAAATCTTCAGGAAACTAGTTATAAAGTTAAATTTTGTTAGGTTAAGGTACTTATTTACTAGCGCGCACATAATACATAACAACATACAGGAATAATGCTAGTACATACATACATACATACATAACTTCACGCCTGTCTCCCATGGGGGTAGGCAGAGACTAAGGAACGCCAATTACTACGATTCTTACATACCTCTTTCGCTTCAAATGCTTTCAGCTAAAGTTTTTTATAATAATGACCTTTTTAACCGACGTCATAAAAGAAAGGAGATTTTCAATTTAACCTGTATGTTTGCATGTTTGTGTGTCAATATTTCACGATTGACTGAACCGATTCTGGATGCGGTTTTTAGAAAAGTGTCTGTTACACTTACGAGAAGGATTTAGTACCTATATTAATTAATCGACCTCAAAAAGGGGGGGTTGAAGTCAGTTTTTTAAAAGGTATATAAATAACTAGCTTTCATCCGCGGCTTCGCACGCGTCACAAAAGGATAAAAGTAGCCTATGTGACATATACCAATACACACAGCGCCATCTATACCAATTCTTTTGTTTTCCCTCGGGAATATCAAGATTTTCCGGGGTAAAAAGTACCCTATTATTTATTCCGGACTTCTGACTTTACGCCTGCAAAAAATCAAAGCAATCTGTTTAGAAATTACGACGTGAAAGTGAAACAAACAAACAAACAAACTCACTTTCCCATTTATAATAGTAAGGATTATTATGTTATAATATTCATATGCCATGATTAGAAGAATTCTTTTCTATCTTTCCACAGCTGCGAGCAACGAGCAAAAGAAACGAAAACTATCAAAGAGCCAAAAGATGAAGATTCAAGCGAAACAGAGGACTGCTCTCGCTGTCAAGAAGAAGGCTGCCGCCGCCGCTGCAGCTGCCGCCGCTAAAATGTCAGCTTAAGTTATGAAGACTACTTTTACACTCGATTAGAACGCACAAATTATTGGGCCATGAATGTACTCTAACATTATAATGTTGTAATTCTCTTCGAATCTCTTTAAAGCCGTCACTATACTGTATAAGATTGTATTCGCTATCCATTTAATATTTTATGTTATATATTATAATAATTATATTGTAGAACATTCATTCAGTTCACTGATAGAATGGAATAGATTGCAAAATGGTATTGGTAGTGATTAATAAGTAATTTAATATAACATGTCTGTATATAATTATCTCACTGCTCGGTAAATGTATTTTCTCGCTTCACACAGACATGCCATAAGCATCAATCACCTGATCACTACATACACATGGTAGAGGTGACTTTAGACTTATTTATTTGTTATTCACGCCCAGGTTTGCCCATTTATAGTCTATTTTTTGTTCAAAATCTATCCTGAATCCAATGTTGGATTAATTCTTCTCTGAGCTAATATTGACTTGCTATATGCAAGTGGTTTATATATATCGTAACATAAAGATTGTATTTTACTCATACATATTTCTTATATGACTTGTGTATGAATGTATTTAAGATGTATGCATTCATTTGTAAATGTTCCTAATACGTATATTTAGCGTATAAGTGTGAAAGATGATGTCAGTCTCGGTTTGAGTCTGAATTGATTAAAGATGTGATGTATTTATTAAAATGATTAAGCGTCAAATATTGTAATATTGTTCAGTTTTAAGTCGTTTCACAACTGAATTTTCAATTGTCATTGTCAATTATTTCGTCGCTAAAATTTATTTTAAAGCTAAAATATTTGTCGTTTGTTTAACAAACTACGCCAATCAACATCGTACTAGGTATGTATCCCGCTTAAAAAAAATATCACCTTTATGCCTTCCCTGGACTTCCATGAAAATTTCAAGACCAAAATTTTGCTTAGTTGGTTCAGTGGTTCTTAAGTTTTAGCGAGACTAACGAACGGAAACTTTTTCTTATTTATAGATTACATAGGCCATTGATAGTCGTCATACACCATAATGGTGATAGTGTTGTGGTATTCAGATAAATGTTTTCAGCTTTCGAATTGACATAGTTTCTCTCAATATATTTAAATCTAAGTATGAATTAGGAGATTTTTGATTGCTAGTCATTTGATCTAGATAAAGATCTAAAAAGTGTTAATTTGATGAATTGTCAGTACCGTCATTACTACAATGACATCGGGGCTCGTGCCTAGGGGCCATCCTCAAGGGGTCCCGAAGGACCGATAATTTCTACGACGGACACACACAAAGATTTGCTTCTTTGCTACACATAGTGTGGCAACCGACTGCTGCACAAATTGTTGTTTTGGGTCTAGGTGTCATGTGTATGTGAACTTGTATGTTTGTAAGCACACACGACACAGGAGAAAATCCTAGGGCGGTGTAACGTCAAAAAAACATTACGCAAGGGTCCTGAATTATTGTGTGCCAGCGTAGTCTTAGGCGGCCCTATGAATTATTTATTGTGCGTTAATGTGAGATTAGCGCACTATTATTAATTATCTTTTTATGTATGCCTATAAAGTGTTATAACGATGTTTTTATTGTCATAATGACAATGTTTATAATGGTAAGGAATTTGTAAGTAAAATGTAATGTATTTTAACTTTGAAATTAAAGATATTTTCGTTAAGTAGTTCATTTATTCAACTTACTTTTACCCACCTTTTGTTCTTCTTCGTCCAAACAATTTGTATGAAAAGAATAAATGAGTAATAAAACATAATTAAACGGTTATAAACTAAAACTTGAAATTGGTATCATATTCGTAACAATTTCAAACAAAAATAAACTTTTCAAAACTACTGTTGATAATTCTACTAAATTAGTAGGAACTTTTATAACTTGACAACATTATAAGATTTGCGAAACGTCAAACTTTATCGTCATTCGCAATGTTTTTTTCTGCAATTTTGCAATGTCAACATGGTATGTTGAAGTACATATAAATTCATGAATTCGTATAAAAAATTATAATTTTACAATTTTTTTCCTGTAATATCGAAGTATTCCTATATCATCGCCTTCGGGTAAGTGTTTTATGCTGAAATACGTAAAATAAACTGCTATTCAACTGTATCCTTCACCTAATTTTCTCCAAATTCGTCACGGAGGGCGCGAATGCGATAAATGTAGTGAAATTATCATTTTAAATTCTCTGTAAAGAACTTAAATTGTTAGTAAATAATGAAGACAGTCTATCAGTGATAATAGAACATAAATAATAGCAGTTTAAAGAAATTGGGAACTTACAATGTTATCAAAATTACGTTGAAAATAATGAGCGATGTGGCTACTTTTCTTATCATACAATAGTCCTATAACGTTGCATTGTACGCTAGAACGACAATAATCAATTTTACTATGTAATGAAAACTCGATTTTTAATATTTGTTACTCTTTTTTAGGCAGGTGTGTCTTCAAGATGAAATTTTAAATTTACATAACATAACATCACGCCTTTTATCCCCGAAGAGGTAGACAGAGGTGCACATTACGACACTTAATGCCACTGTACAATGTAACACTCACTTATCACTATTTATGTTATGAGTCCCATTTAATAGGGGGTGAGCCTATTGCCATATACCAGGCACATTTCCAGACTCCATGCTACTATAGAGAATTTAAAAAAAAATCTCCAATATTACTTTGCCAGACCAGGTATGAAACCCCATGCTCACCAGTTGCACTTGAATTTACCGACCTAATAAATTTCTTTAACTCATTGAAGTGTTTTTGTAATTTCAGACATTAATATAATCATCGATATCACGATGGATGTATCTACAGAAGATAATTTAAATTTAAATTTGAATAAAAATAATACAAATACTGAAGTAATTGACAAAGAACATGAACATAGTTACGAAGGAGATGGAGCGGCCAAAGAATTACTACATTTAAATGATCATGATTATTTGTAAGTGTTTTCTCATGCTTTGAAGACTAGACACAAGGAAGGTAGGGTGTAAACGGAATGCTCCTGAAAAACACAGACAAGATGATGGTAAAAAACAAGTATTATTTTCAGAAAAGTAAAGAATTAAAATGTAGACTGCGCGGTTGGTGCAGTGGTGGGTCGATTCCCGCACGGAACAACACTTTGTGTGATCGACAAATTGTTGTTTCGGGTCTGGGTGTCATTGTGTATGTGAACTTGTATGTTTGTAAACGCACCCACGACACAGGAGAAAATCCTAGTATGGGGCAATGTTTTTTTTAGTTTTTAAAAAAAGAGATAATGTCATTGTGTCAGGTTTAAGACGCCCGCTTCTCATGAATAAGGGTGCCGATTCGAAACCTACCAACGGCAAGTACCAATGTGACTTTTTCCGAGTTATATGTACTTTCTAAGATTATTAAGACACCACTGACAAACGGTGAAGGAGAACATCGTGAGGAAATCTAGGCTTATAATTTCTAATTATAAGTATGAAATCGCCAACCCGCATTGAGTATGCGTGGTGATTAATGCTCAAACCTTTTTCTAGTGAGAAGAGACTTTGGTCAGCAGTGGGCATTTATAGGCTGTTGATGATGATGATGATGAAGGAATTAAATGTTTCTTTTATGTAATACTAGTTGTAATAAACTGCTGAAGGCTGATGTTGCATGAATAATATGAAAAAAAAACAAAAATGATTAAAATTGGATAAGCAATTTGTTTTTGTCAGCGTTTCAGGAGCGTTCAAAGTCAAAGTCAAAGCATTTATTTCAATTAAACCATAGTTTGGTACTTTTGAAACGTCATCAAATACAAAATAAAAAATAATCTGTCAGTCAGTCCGTCAGTGAAATTAGGTGAAGCTAGGTGCTCATTTGTTCCGTTTACATTCTGTATAAAGTCTACATTTTACTAGTAGACACGCAGGTAAGCAGAGGTGCACATTACGGCACATAATGCCACTGTAATATGTAACACTTTTCACCATTTATGTTATGAGTCCCATGTAATAGGGGTGAGCCTATTGCCATTGTATATAATTCCAGACTCCGTGCTACTACTGAGTTTTTTTGAACCCGGGAATCGAACCAGAGACCCCTTGTTCGGCAGTCGCACTTATTATATTATATGTCATTCATAACATAAATAGTGAAAAGTGGGTGTTATATTGTAGTGACATCGAGTGTCGCAATGTGAACCTCTGCCTACTCCTTCGGGGATAAATATAATAATAATAGGCGTGTTGTGTTGTTGTTATATTATTCTAAAATTGATTGATAATATTTTCAACATATTATCTACGACAATACTAGTATGAAGTATCCTAATACTAACTTACTATGTTTCTATTTCAGCACCCTAACAACACCACAATCCACCAGCAAAACACCACAAAAGAAGCAACGCACACACTCAGTAAAGATAACCCAGCTAAAAGCGGTATACAACTGCAAATCCTGCGGTTACCGTACTATGGACCGAGATACATTCTCAAAACACCACTGCGATCTCAAGACGGTACCATGTACAAAATGTGATACAAATAAAGTGCCAGACGGTTATAACAAATGTCCTAAGTGTTCCTATATTAATAAAAATCCAGCCAGTTTAAAAGTGCATATGCGTATACATGAAAAGGGTAATCCGTATAAGTGCACCGAGTGTGATTACTCCGGTAAAGACTGTAAATCGTTAATACTACACTATGGACGGATGAAGAACTTGAACTGTGGATGCGGTTACCGGACCCATGTAAAAAAGCATTTTGAATCCCATCTGAGGTCCCATACCGGTGAGAAACCTTATTCGTGTGCTATTTGCTGCTTTGCATGCTCTGATAGAGCGGGCTTGTCTAGACATATTTTGAAGAAACATGATTGTGTTTAGTAATTGTTTGTTATTATTAAATTGAGTAGAAATGTTAGTTCAGGTTAGCACAGACAAGGGGAAATAAAATACATTAATTCAAGTTTGTGGTAAAGATCTACCGAGAATATGAGCTAACTGCATCATGAGGTACTTTGTTAGTTATCATCATCAACAGCCTATAAATCCCCACTGCTGAACAAAGCCTCTTCTCACACAGAGAAGGTTTGAGCATTAATCACCACGCTTGCTCAATGCGGGTTGGCGATTACAAACTTATAAGCCCAGGCTTCCTCACGATGTTTTCCTTCATCGTTTGTCAGTGGTGTTTAGATAATCTTAGAAAGTACATATAACTCGGAAAAAGTCACATTGTTACTTGCCGTTGGTAGGTTACGAAGCCGCGCCCTCGTGCATGAGAAGCGGGCGTCTTAAGCCTCCGGGCCACCAGGACATTATAACGTGGTATAAGGTGCCGTCCACTGCTGCACAAAGGCCTTCCCCTTAGGTCCATAGCACACGGCGTATTTTATACACGCAGATGAAACGCTTCATATGAACGCAACCTTTTAACCTAAGTACACGGGGCAATCGTAAAACGCGCTTCTAATGTTTAAGTGTGGGAGAGCCATGCTTCGGCACGAATGGGCCGGCTCGACCGGAGTAATACCACGTACTCACAGAAAACCGACATGCAGCAACGCTTGCGTTGTGTTTCGTCGTGTGAGTGAGGTTACCGGACGCCCATTTAAACTCCACTTCCTCAATCTCCCCAACGGTCCTCAAACTCCTAATCGCCAAAAGGCAGGTAACGCACTTGTAACGCCTCTGGTGTTCCAGGTGTCCATGGGTGACGCCGATTGCTTACCATCAGGTGATCCGTCTGCTCGTTTACCGGCCTATGCCATAAAAAAAATATTTTATAGAAAAATTATTAGGGGTTAGGAATTTGAGGATTACTGGGAATTCGGGATTAGGGAGATTGGGGAGGGGGGTAATTGGGCCTCCTATAACCTCACTCACAACCCGAAACCTAACGCAAGCGTTGCTTCATGTCGGTTTCCTGCTCGGTCGTGGTATCACTCCGATGAAGCCGGCCCATTCGTACCGAAGCATTGCTCTCCCACACAACTTGCAGATTGTAAAAGCTATTTCGGTAACCTATGCCCGTTTTCATCAACCACACTTAAAGCCAAGGATAAGGGTTTAGGGGTGATAACTGAAAAAGGCCATCAGTTTCTTTGCCGAATCTCCTCAATTCTGATTTTGTCTCGTAAAGAAAATTCGAGCATTGCTTATTTCTATGATGCAGTTTGCAGTTTATTCAGTGGTTATCACCCATAAACTAGCGACCCGCCCCGGCTTCGCACGGGTGCAATATGCATATATTATACAAATAAACCTTCCTTAAGAATCACTATCTATTAAAAAAATCCGCATCAAAATCCGTTGCGTAGTTTTAAAGATCTAAGCATACATAGGGACAGACAGACGGTGGATAGCGACTTTGTTTTATACTATGTAATGATAAATAGACAACAGCTGTCCTTTGTTTTTGCTAGCTTTTAATATTCTAATAATGTATTTGTAAAAAGTTCCTATATTATAGTACTAGCGACCCGCCCCGGCTTCGCACGGGTGCAATATGCATGTATTATACATACAAACCTTCCTTAAGAATCACTCTATCTATTAAAAAAACCGCATCAAAATCCGTTGCGTAGTTTTAAAGATCTAAGCATACATACGGACATACAGCAAAAGCGACTTTGTTTTATACTATGTATTGATAACAAATAATTGTAAAAATGTAAAAAAACATATATTTGTTGAAGCCAGCCTAGTTATTTAATACGCAGGTAAGAAAACAAAGATTGATTCAGTACAGAGACAGTAGCTATTGTTATACTAAACTAGCTTTTACCCGCGGCTTCGCTCGCGTCACAAAAGGATAAAAAGTAGGCTATGTGACTATCCATCCCTTCAACTTCAACCTTCAGTTAAAAAATCACGTTAATTAGTACCTCCGTTCTGCCGTGTAAGACAGGCAAACAAACAAATAGCTTTCCGCTCGCGTGGAATTCTGTTATATTGCGCTATTTAGATTATTCCAATTAGTAGGTAATTCGTTGACGTTTTAAATGACATACAGCGCCATCTTTATCTATACACACAGCGCCATCTATACCAATATTTTTGTTTTCCCTCGGAAATATCAAATTTTTCTGGGATAAAATGTACTCTATTATTTAATCCGGACTTCTAACTTTACGTCTGCAAAATTTCAAAGCAATCGGTTTAGTAGTTACGGCGTGAAAGCGGAACAAACACACAAACTCACTTTCCCATTTATAATATTAGTAAGGATTGTACGCTTTGTAACGAAGCCATATCTTATGTAGCCATTGGTCGGCTCTAGACAACCAATGGCTACTGGCTCTGTACTGAAACAATCTTTGTTTTCTTACCTGCATACTAAATAATTTGGTTAACTGTAGGTACTTGGTAGAAAAGCTTGTCCTAAACAAGAATGGGAGGAATATGTCTGGCAAAATCATGTAAAATTGTCTTATTATTTTATAATAATTAAGTAGGTACTTATTGTAAATGTGTAAATAAACAATAATAAATATATTTTCATTGTAATTTATTGTTTTATTGATTTATTCTTAAGGCAAATGCGTATGAATAATACCAGGAAGGCACTTTTGAACAGCAATACAATTTTTTATGGAATAGGTCGGTAAACGAGCAGACGGATCACCTGATGGTAAGCAATCGGCGTCGCCCATGGACACCTGGAACACCAGAGGCGTTACAAGTGTGTTACCGGCCTTTTGGGATTAGGAATTTGAGGATTGTTGGGGATTCAGGGATTGGGGAAGGGGGGAGGGTAATTGTGTCTCCTGTAACCTCACTCACACGACGAAACACAATGCAAGCGTTGCTTCACGTTGGTCTTCTGTGAGGTCGTGGTATCACTCCGAATGAGCCGGCATGACTCTTCCACACTTCGTCAAAATGGCAGTCTGTCGGTCAGTCCACTAGTTGCTCTATTTGCTCATTCCAAGGTGTAGATTCCTATGTAGAAGGACGAGCAAGAAACTCCATAGGTTACTCTTTTTCAATCATGTTCACAATACAATTCAATTTTCGTTGCATTTAAGTGTTGTGTTTCCTCCGGAATTCTGTTATATCATTTAAATAATTTAATCTCATAAAGGACTTATGCACTTTTGTTAATGCAAAAAGTGGCTGACTTAATCTATCCTTATGTCTAGTTTCATAGTGGTGTCTGTCAGACACTACCCAACAAATGTAGGTTTTTCCTTACTCTATAGCTATAAAACATGTTTCTACCCTACTCCTAAAAGTTACTGCCTCGTTGGCCGAGTGGTCGCAAGAGCGACTGCCGGGCATGAGGTCTCGGGTTCGATTCCTGGATCGGGCAAAGTATTACTGGGCTTTGTAAAAAAATCTTAGTAGTAGCACGGTGTGAATTGTGCCCGGTATATGGCAATAGGCTCCCCCCTATTACATGGGACTCATAACATAAATAGTAAAAAGTGGGTGTTACATTGTACAGTGGCATAATGTGCACATCTGCCTACCCCTTCAAGTGAAACAAGTGAATTTATTTCTGCAAATAGGCTACAAGGCAGCACTTTTACACGTCAATTTTATCAAGCGAACGATGAGGTCGACATTTCCTAACTGAATACTCTGAGAAGAAATGCCGAAACAAACTCAGAGGTTTGTCTCTTTTAAAGTCCAGACAATATGTATAACAGATTATGTGTGAGAACCGTGCAAGTTCTTTCTGTAGTGGGCTTTTGAGGAAAGAACCACAACAGTTTGAGCGGACCCGTTCTGAAGGCAGTACGCATGTGTCGGTTTACAGTCAGCTCAATTAACAGGTGAGGCTGACTGATTCGACGAACAATACCAACCTAAAGAACATTTGCGAACTTTCTGGGATAAAAGGCATGATATTATATGTGTTATGTCCTAATAATTAGTAAGTTACTTACAAGTTACGCTACTTGTTATAAGCGACTCTAAACCAGTATAAATTGCTAGTCGAATGTGTAGAAAGATCATAGAAATTGGGACCATGGTAAATTGGCTCTGCATACTATAGCTTAAGGGCTCGTATACAAAAATTGCGATGCGATGTCGCATCGCAATAATGTGCGAGCGCCCTCTACGCATCGCAAGAACTTGCGAATTGATTCGCATCAATCTTATCTTACCAAATCTTCTTGTTTATTTTTTCTATATCTCCTAAGCAATAATAAAAGTGCACACTTCTTTTTACGATCCATGTCACGACCTAGATTTCAATTTAAAATACGTTTAGTACGGTTGACGGTCGTCGAAGGAATGGTCAGCCTGGGAGACGCCTTGTCGGACGAAATCACGTCGCAGCAATTCGTGTCGTAATTTTTTGCGTTGCGAATTCGCATCGCAGTATGGTGTACGAGCCCTTATGTATAACCGTGTGTATGGCCAGCAACTCAACTTCCTTTATGTCATTTCATTAACTATAACATTTAACCCACAATCAATTGAGACTAGAACCCATAATCCAGACCCGAGCGTACGACGTGTCGCGTTCTGCGCGCGCCTCAAAGAGCCATCAGACCACCACAGATGGCGCCCAATAGGGCTGATGCCGATACAGAGCCGCGGAGAACTTAACGGGTTGCCGGGGCTCCGGCTCGAAATGTAGGAGTAGGAACGGGTTTGTAGTCAGTAAGAGTCTGACACTCCCTCTAACCTCACCCGGGCAGGAGAAGTAATTGGATGATTTTCCCCCTCAAAAAAAAAACGCATAGTAACAAATGATGAAAAGTCATGAAAAGTATGGCAATAATGCTTTCTATTTTTCCCATGCATTTTTGCCCGTCATCCTTTCGTTATTCGACTTTGAACTTTTAAATCTTGTAATATTTGAATATAAGGTAAAAAATCCAATGAATCGATTTTTTCCACAATTGCCCCTATTATGGATACCAAACGAAAGACATTATGCATAGTCCCTTAGTTGGATACATGCCTATAGAAATATAGGTAATTGTAGATGTCTTCCTTGTGCGCACTGATTAAAGGAGTGGAATTTTTTGCCAGTCTGTTTCCTGAAGAGTATCTGGTGTCTTCAAGGCCCGAGTGAATAGGTTGCTTATGGGACGACGTGCTCCATCGTAGACCGCATCATCGCTTACCATCAAA